CCTCGTTCTAAATTACATGTTGGAGCACTTAATGTCCGAACATTGTGTCAGCTAGGGGCGGCCAAGCCAAAACATGGCACAAATCCATGAAGTCACTGACAAGTGGACTGAGTCATGTTGGTAGGTATAGGCTACCTGGTTGGGGTACGCGATACGAAAGTCACCAATGGGTAGAGACTTTGAACGACGTGGCTCAAAATCGTTTGCAATGACGCAGGTGCATCGATTTTGTGTGTTATTTCAAATCTTAATCTTTTTAATTTCTCATCAATTTAATTTTTTTCTATTAAGCTTATTTCACTAGATTCTACATCTTGAATAATATCCTCGAACCCTAATCTCTCCGATTACGGCTAATACCTTTACCATATCTACTACTATTGGATTTGAATTGACAATTACATCTCTGTGTGCTAATGTGGTATGGCAACATGAACTGATGTACGTACGTACGAAGTTCTACGTTTGCTATTGATTGATTGATGTCCTACTTTGAGGATTGGATCCCGTAAGGGTTGATTGTGCACTGACTAAATCACGATAATATGAATCATTATTGAATAATCAATTGAATGGGATTCATGACAGTACATCAAATTCCTTGACTATCAGAAGGTATTTGACAACGTAGATACAAGAACATTGTGGAGCCTTCTTGAACACTATGGTGTATCTGAAAACTTGGTCAACATCACATGGAATTCTTACGATGTACTATACTGCATATTGTGCAACTCTCAGATTTGTTTCAAGTGAAGATTAGTATCGAGCAAACCTGCTTACTCTGACCCTTTCTCTTTCGTCTGGTGATTGACTGGATTATGAAAACCTCAATAACTCACTGAAAGCATGGAATGAAGTGGACTGCTCGGATGCAGTTAATTGATTTGTACTTTGGAGACGACCTCACTCTTCTATCCCACACACAACAACAAGTGTAGGTGAAGACGGCCAGTGTGGCAGCAGTCTCTTTAGCAATACACCTTAACAATAATTATACATCATCATTCAGAAGATACAAGTATTCATTACCAGTTGTCTACGTTGGCCAGACACCATCAGCAACAACCTACTGTGGGAGAGAACAAACCAGATTCCAGTGGAGGAGGAAATCAGGAAGAAGCGGTGGAAATGGATAGGACACACACTACGAAAAACACCTAACTGCGCGTCACAAGACAAGCCCTCACATGGAACCCTCAAGGCAAAAGGAAAAGAGGAAGGCCAAAGAACATATTACTCCGAGAAATAGAGAAAGATATGAGGGGAATGAACAAACATTGGACAGAACTGGAGAGAGAAGCCCAGGACAGAGTCGGTTGGAGAAAACTGGTGAGCAGCCTATGCTCCATTGGAGGTAACAGGCGTAAGTAAGTAAGTAAGTAAGTAAGATACTACGGATTCGTCGGTCAAACATCAGCAGCAACGACCTACTGTGGTAAAGCACAAACCAGATTCTAGCTTAGGAAGAAATTATGCAGAAGCACTGAAGAAGAAAAGGAGAGAGATTATGGAAATCTCTCATCAGCTTCACAAGGCAATACCTCAATTAATGAAATCCTGTAGGCCATAGGGAAAAAAAGGGAGACCAAAGAACACATTGCACTGGGAAATGAAGATAGGCATGAAAAGTGGGCATGAATAGTACTTGGTAAGAGCTGGAAAGGAGACCTGAAAATAGAGTTGGTTAGGGAATGCTAGTCGATTGCCTATGCTCCACGACATGTAAGTAGGTAAGTAAGTAAATAAGTAAGGCATCTGTAAATTCTTGGGTCATCCATCTATGCATAACTGATTTTATGCTTGAACATGGATGTACACTAGTTGAAAACAGAATGAAATACGTACAGATTGCTTTCTAATGTTCACTGAATTTCTAGTTGAAGTAGATCGGAATGTAGTTGTATAGTGAACGAGAACACAGGTGGAGCAACCGGATTGTAATTAGCGAAAATTACAGAGTTACTCAGTAAAATAGGAAAAATCATATCGTAAATCGTTCATTTGCAAAATATCAGTTCATCATCATATCGAACTGGACTGTTCCTGTTGCAAAACATCAATCCATTGTCACTACTATTCATGCGTTTCATACAAATTCCATTGTGTTCCCCCCACTCTTCCTTTCTTGATCTTCCCCCATCTTCTTCTGCCAGACATTACGTTGACGCTCACGTCATATATACTACTTATGAGTGTAGCTCACACCACAGTTGTAATTAGACTTCTTCATGTTCTCAATGGAATGAATTAGATAGAATTGTTTTTTTTCTATTAAACATTTGTTCAATTGATTTTTTTCTTTCTATCAAAAATTTACAGACAGATCTTTATCAACAGCCAGTCACAGTGGGTGATTACTCGGATCGAGATGAATTCATCGATCAAGAACATCATCGTTATGCACAATCTCAAACAAAATATAAAACTGAATTAATTCCAGATACAATGAATCAAACATTAAGTAAGTTTTAGCAGAAGAAGAAAAAAAAACATATTTGATTGAAATGATGAATATCGATGAATATTTCATCACTACTTTAAATCTTAGGTCTCTCTTGATCTTGAACGAGTGTACTGTGTAGCAGTTCGCTTGGTTCGCCTATATGGATGCGAAACATGGCTGGTAAGAGTAGAAGGTATTCATTCGTTTGTTACTAGTATTCGATCACAGATGTCTTGGAAGCATTGTTCGTGTATCATGGGACACCGGAGTAAGCAATGCTGCCATTAAGAAGCGAATACTGGGTAAGGATGGCAGATCAATAGACGCAGTAGTGACACTTCATCAGTCGAGGTGGTTGGGATATGTGTTGCGTATGCCCAACCACCGACTGCCTCGACGAGCTTTGTTTTGTAGTGTAGGAATAGATTGGAAGCAAGTTAGGGGCGGCCAGAACAAAACATGTCAGAAATCCATGAAATCATTGACAAGTGAACTGAATTATGTTAGTAGATGTAGATGTAGGCTACCTGGTTGGGGTCCGCGAGATCATAATAATCGATGGTTAGAGACCTTGAACAACATGGCTCAAAATCGTTTACAATGGCGCAAGTGCATCCATTCGTTGAGCTCTCTCAAGTCCTAATTTTCTGGACTCGTCAACACCTCTAGTTTTGACTTTCTAAACTTATCTCACTGAATTATACTTCTTGAATAATATCTTCGAACCCTAATCCTCTGTATTATCAGTAGTACTCATACTATTTCTACTATTTCTGTGTTGATGTGTTATGGCAACATGAACTGAAGTACTTATGTACAAAGTTCTACGTTAAATCTGACTGACTGACTGACTGATCTTGAATTCGATTCCTACTCACAGGGTTGTGGATATGTATTGCCTAGCAGGCACATACGGGGACGAAAATAGCTGTCCAGTTAATGCTTTCAAGTTCTCAATGGTGGTCTAACATTGATCAATTGATGATTTCAATGAAATTCAACAATTTTCACAATTTTAGTACTGAAACTGTCATTTTAGAAGAAAAAAATACATCTTTTCTGTTTATTTTTTCTTCAGATCCATCACAGAATAAACCAATGGAATCTATTCGACAATTAACTAATCAACCATCGAAAATTATGATTGCTATCTATGATTATGATCCTCATGTATTAAGTCCTAATCCAGATATTGATGTAAGTTATTAATTTTTTGAGGGGAAGTGATTACTATTGAACGAAAAAGAAACTATGTGTATATCTGCAACCCCGACTAATCGCAGGAGTCGAACTTAGTACCATTGGTCTTGTGCGCAAACGCTTGACCTCTGGACCTATGAGCCGATGGCATCTAACAGTGTTAATGTCTAACTCTGATCAATCTAAGGATTTTGCGCAACCTCACCCATTGTCTACAGTAGTTACTGCCTACACTCGACAGGGTTGAACTCCAAAACTCGTAGAATGTACTCACTAGTGAGTAGCTTCGTGAAGAGATTCTCGGAGCTCTAATGAAAAGATGTGACCGGGTGGAGTTCATCCTTATCGAGTATAAGCAATAACTACTGAAGACACTGGTTGACGTTGCGCATTAGTGTTTTAGAATATGGGTTTTCCAACTACTTTCATTCATTTGTGGAGAGATTACAATAGTTGTTTTTTTCCCTTTGGAGTACTTACTGATGATGTTGTTCAGACGAACAATCAAAACTTCACAGTCAATCCATTCAACTCTGAGATCACAACTATGTAGTACTTAAGATAGAGAAATTACCGAATACAGTTCGAACTACTAACTATTATAAGTAGTACTAAATAACATTTTTAGAAAGTAAATAAACGAGGAATAGTGTTAAAAGTATTTATTTAACACTTGAAACAGACCATTTTTATAATAATATTCTATTTAACATTAATTTCCTATGTTGAAGTGTTCTGGACGTTAGATCCCCAGGACTCGCCTGATAAATGCCTCATTTGGATTTCGCGTTTGCGCGAGCATGGGCTGATCAGTCGACTCTGAGATTTCATTTCCCACCAGCAAAATCTTTGTCTGTGATTGGCTGCTGTGCATTTTATTACTGTAGGATTTTCGTAACTGTCCCAAGGACGTTTCTATGATGTATAAATAAACGAGAGTTGTGTGTTTGATGGTATTGTGTGATTACTGGGTGTTTGTAGAATATACTTTCTACGCTTATCAAGACTTCGCTTTTGAAGTTGTGGGATTCAAGGTAGCCTGTCTGGACGCTGGTTCATTGTCTCGTTCGCGTATAAAGACTAAGGAGAACTCATAATAGCTTCAAGCGTACTACGACATGAGGATTCCTTTCTAATAGTTTTTTTAGTGATATGGTTCATAGTTATAATGCATAAGTATTGTTAATGAGCTATTCATAAAATCTGGTGTATACCCTTCAGTGATATTGATTACTGAATATTTAAGTAGTAGTGTAGTGGAGTAGGACATAGGTGGGGCAACCGAATTGTATTTAACGAAAATTACAACAGAGTTGCTCAGTAAAATCGGAAAACCATATCGTAAATTGTTCATTTGCAAAATATCAGTCCATCACCATATCGAACTGGACTGTTCCTGTTGCAAAACATCAATCCATTGTCACTCACTATTCATGCGTTCGTTTCATACACAAATTCCATTGTTTTCTAACTCTTCATTTCTTGATCTTCCCCCCCATCTTCTGCTGCTAGACATTACGTTGACACTCACGTCATATACTACTTATAAGTAGCTCACACCACAGTAGTAGTATGATTTTAAAGAAGTGAATTAGTTTTATTCAAAAATCATGTCGGTATATTCTATCATCTTAATGACACACCAGAATGTTTTAGCGGCTGCATGAAGTTAGGCTTAGGACTCACCAACTTTGTTATCCTCCGGTCTGACTCCAATTTAGACGATCGACTGAGTATGCTATGAAATAAATCAAGTTAGACATTAACACCGTTGGATACCGAGTCAGTGGTCCAGAATTTAGGTGTTTGCGCACAATACCAAAGGTCCTGGGTTCGAATCCTGTGGGGTGCAGGAGTCGTGGATGCGCACTGCCACTGATGAGTCTCATGCAAAGACGAAACGACCAACCAGTGCTTCCATGTTTCTAATGGTGGTCTAACATTGATCGATTCATGGTTTCAAAATAAATCTTCTCTAACATACTTAGGCGAACCCTGTCTGTGCAGTGGCGGTAAATAAGAAGCAAAAGTGAAGTGAAGTAGAGAAGGCGAGTAAGCCAGCTCAATACGATGAGGCATGAATAAGTTACTTATAGTCAGAAAATAATAAGCTAGCCATGTAGTAACCGAAGTTAGCATGCACATGAACACCCGAATAAAAATAACCAAGTTATAAAAGTGAATAATTTACAAGGTGTTGGAGAAAATTTTTAGCTCAGGTGGATGACTATGATGGTGTTTCGTTCTCTTAGCTGGATGTTTTGGTTGTGAAGCTTTCATTGTTCTTCTGAACAAAATCATCAGCACAAACTTCAGATAGAAGAAATGAAGTATTCGAATTTCTCCACGTTTGACCTGTAGCTTGTTCTGTTAACCTCGATCTTGATTGGTTGCTATTGTGACCTTAAACCTGTTGTAGCTTGCGCACCTTTGTTTTGATTGTATCCCTCCTTTGATCTGTTTCTTGATCCTAAGTCGCCTATGATTTTTCTGATCGGTTGATAAATTGGGTTGATTGCTGATTTACCTGAGTGCCAAGCTTCTAAAAATTCTCTAGTGTACTTTGTGCTCCCCCTATCCAGTATTTCTACATTGTCTCAATCGAATGTATGCCCATTTTGTCGGTATGTATTGATATAAGCGAAGCATTGTCATGGCGTTTGACTGCTAATTGATGTTCATGTCAACGAAGCTGAAGAGGTCGTCCATTTTGTCCTGAGTGCCAGTCTTCTAAAAATTCTCTAGTATTGTTTATCCTCCCCCAAATACAGTATTTCCACATTGTTCAAATCTAATGTATGTCCATAATTGTCGGTGTGTATTCATATAAACGAAGAATTTTCGTGTCGTTTGACTGCTAATTGATGTTCACGACCAAAACATCCAACTCAGAGGACGAAACACCTCCACAATTTACAAGGTCGAAAGATGTATGAATGATGACTCTAGCAGAAAGGGTTGATTACTTTGTCTGAAAGCTAGGACAAGCCATGTGGGCTCAACATACCCGGCTACACACACTACAATCTACATAATAAAAGTAAAAACGAATTTTTAATTAAACTAATGTTAGACAACTGGAACTAGCTTTCAGTAAGCCCAGAACTGAGGCTGTGCGTTAACTTGGTGAGTGTTAGTTAACTAGGTTTATGTGTAATTTTAATGGTACCGATTATCCGCGCTCATAAATTCCAGCCATTTCATTTTAGTGCATCAAACACGTAAGATCTGATGCCTTGTTGAATTGTTTAACAGGAATCACCGAATACAGAAGATAGCTGCGTCTTACCAATTAGCACTAACTAGTCTAAGACTATAGTCTCATGGCTTGACGTATATCATCATCATTAATGTTCAGTCATCATCTAGTCTGAAAACTAGATTACAAAACCGATCAATCAAATCGGATCAGTACTAAGCAATAGTCCATATAACACTGGATAGAATTCCCAATGATTAAGCTGGTTGAAATCAATTTGTTTGTAATATCAAGACTATGAAACAATTTAATTTTTTCATTATTCAAGTTAAGCACTAATGGTGATTATCAAAATTTAGATGTTTCACTTCAAGATCTACTCGATCGAATTGTCCGTTTAGTTATAGTGTGAGGTGCATTAGTTATCAATGAGAGTCAAGTTCAAGACATGTAGTGAATTTGTGCCAAATATTTTTTCAACAACTTGACTAAAATTAACTTACTAACTAACTAACTCTGTACAATTACTTACTTATTTACTTTCTCCTGTTTCCCCCCAATGAAGCATAGGCGACTGACGAGCAGTCTCTGATCTACTCCTTCCTATCGCTTCCTTTCCAGTCCTCTTGAATTTCTGTTTATTTTTCTCATGTCTGTCCTCATTGCTCGACATAATGTGTTCCTTGGCCTTCCTCTTTTCTGTTGGCCTTGAGAATACTAAGTGAGGGCTTGTCTTATGACGTAGTTGGGTGTCCAGTGCCTCTTCCTGATTTCTGCCTCCGCTCCCGACCGTAGCTGCTACTTTGACGTAGTGGTCAGGCTTGCCTATCGTGATGAACCAACCGATCTATATTGGCTGGAACACATGTTCCTGCAGGTCCTACCATGCCAGGCAGGTCGATTGGAGAACGATGAGACTAAAAGCAGCTACTCAAGGTCTGAGGGCGAAGTCGTACTGCTGACTGACTGTAGAGGGGTGTGACAGCAGTAAGGTGTTTCCCTCGGACAACCAGCATCTACAGCGATACTGCCTTCTCACAAAGGAAGGGTTAGATAAGGTCGACCGTAGGAATGTCACACCTCACCCTACCTCACGGATTTCCGTCTCCTTGGGTAAGGGTGCCCACTATGGGCTTCTAAGAGAGGAGCTAACACTCAAAAAACCTTTCATAAAAAGGCCGGCCTCAAACAGTTGTAACTTGGGATCTATGGTCACGCACCCAGGTCTCTAAGACCAACATTAATCTACCTTCCTTTTCAGGTTCCTCAAGAAACAGTCTTCCACGGTGTGGGCAGCCGGGAAGTGACAACCGGCCTCATACCCGTAACAGCAGCACATGAGACCAATTTGGTCTAAATCAAATCCTTCCTACACTCACACATACCTCTCTCTTCTCTCCACAACTAACTTTCTACCTCCGCTAGAAATCAACTTATAACAAAACATTCTATACACTAGTAAAATGACATCATGAAAACAGATTTAATGAACATTGAAAAAAAATAAATACCCCCTTTTATACTGTTGCTTTTTTGATATATATTTTAGGCTGAATTATCATTTCGATCAGGTGAACAAATCACTGTCTATGGTAGTATGGATGATGATGGATTTTATTATGGTACAACAAAAGATGGTCGTTTTGGTCTTGTGCCTTCAAATTTTTTACAATCATGTACAAATGATGTGAATTATGATTATTATTTAAATGAACAAACAAAAAAAACAATTCCGCCAGCATTTGCTTCAACTCCATTATCACCTACTAATCAACAATCATCATGTGATTATGAATTGCACACACTGTCAACCAATCCAGCGATGACGCATCATCAACATAGAAATCAGTTGTATTCAAATGATTTGAACAACAACAGCACCAGTATTAATAACAATCCCGCATTACGTGTACAAACTCGGTCGAATCATCCAGGTCAATTTCAAAATATCAATAATTATAATAGAAGCATGAAATCGGAAACAAGTGTAAGTGGGGATATATATAAAGCAATTTTTCAGTAGTAAATTTGTTATGCCTGCACGTAAACAGGTCAACTTGATATATTTGAACTATTAGGAGTTTACCGTAGTCGGAAACGCGAGAGAGAGGATTGAGGATCTGGCGACACGACATGCTACTCAAATCCGATTATCCCAGCCCCCCCATTTTGAGTAAAAATAACAAGACTTGATATAAAGTAGAACCTGTATTCTACAAGCATCCAGAAAGTACGAGGTCCGAATCCAGAAGAGAATCAGGATCCCGGACTAGGGATCCGGGACCGAGGGCTGGTCCTGGTCGTGGTCATAAAATGTTACAGATAATGCGTATTTATACATTTTGGTTGAATAGGAAACAGCATCGAATTCTGTGGCATTGACAGTTAAGACGACCAATAGGAAGTAACATTTGAAGTGACATTGAAATTCAGGACAACCAATACGAAACAACATTGAAGTATTTGACTTTGACAGTTATAACGACCGTAATTTCGACCAATAGGATTTGACCAATAATTCTCTTAGGATATTGGATGAATATCCTAACAAAATTTATGAATCCTCATAAAAATTTCTAAAATAGGCCAAGCGTATAAAGGTAGATTACTTATTTACTTACACCTGTTATCCCTAATGAAGCATAGGCCACCGATCAGCGAATTATTACTTCTGGTTAGCGTTTATTTTTCGGTGAGTTGGATTTCTATGAGATGGGATCGCTAAGCCCCTGTTACGCCTGCACGTAAACACGTCAACTTGATATGCATACTTGAACTATTACGAGTTTCGCCTTAGTCGGAAACGCGAGAGCGAGGATCGAGGAGGATCCGGTGACACGACATACTACTCAAATCCGATTATCCCAACCCCCCCCCCCATATTTAGTTGAAATAAGAAGACTTGATATGATGAAGTAGAACCTGTATTCTACAAGTATCCAGAAAGTAAGGAGGTCCGAATCCAGAAGAGAATCGGGATCCAAGACTAAGGATCCGGGTCCGGGTCCTGCTCCTCGGCCTGGTCATAAAACATTATAGATAATGCGTATTTATACATTTTGGTCGGATAGGAAACAGCATCGAATTCTGTGACATTGACAGTTAAGACCAATAGGAAGCAACATTTGAAGTGACATTGATAGTCAGGACGACAACCAATAAGAAACAACATTGGAGTACGTGACATTGATATCTACTAGGGCGACCATAAAATTGACCAGTGGGAATGAACCAATAGGAATTGACCACTAATTGTCTTAGGATATTGGATGAATATCCTAACACCCCCATGCCTGATTCCCTTCCTCTCTCTGGGCTTCAGATCGGCTGTAACCCTAGGAGGACTGCAGGTGGAGTTATACAATTAGATAAAATAGATTAGTAGTAATCAGTAGTATAGTTTTAAAGATGATAATATTCACAGACAATTATTTCAAATCGAGTGATACTAAAAAAAGCCGGTAACACTGAACAGCTACTTACTTACGCTTGTTATGCCCAATGGAACATAGGTGGCTGATGAGCATTTTCCAACCTATTCTGTCCTGTCTAATTTTCGTTCATTCTTCTCATATCTCCACCTGAGGCGCCTTTAGGACTACTGCCGGTCCCAAGCCCAGCTAAAGGAGGACGGTCGGCCAGCCAGCCCATGCCATAGAAAACTAAATCGCTAAAAATCATCACTTGGTACGCTTGAAGCTAATACGAGTTCACCTTAGTCGATAAACACGAACGAGACAATGAACCAGCATCCATGTAGGCTACCTTGAATCCTAAACTGAAAAACAGAAGACTTGATAAGCGTAGAAAGTATATTCTACAAACACCCAGCAATCACACAATACAATCAAACACACAACTCTCGTTTATTTATACATCATAGAAACGTCCTTGGGATAGTTACGAAAATAGCCCACTAATAAAATACACAGTAGCCAATCACAGCCATGGTATTTTCCTTGTGGGAAATGAAATCTCCCGGTCAACTGATCAGCTCATGCTCGCGCAAACCTGAAATCCAAAATAAGGCATTTATCAAGCGAGTTCTTGGGGATCTAACATCCTCAACACATACCAAAACAAAACGGTTAACCAGTGCATCTAGGTTTTTATGATGATGGTCTGACAATAATTCGTTTATGATTTCAATGTATTTTGGGGCAGAGTATTGGAGGTTTGTGTTTTTACACGTTTGAAATCATCAATCAATCATTGTTAGACCACCATTAGAAGGAACCTGGAAGCACTAGATGGCCGTTTCCTCCTGGTATGGGACTCATCAGTGGCAGTTCGCATCCACGACTCCTGCTCCTCGCAGGATTCGAACCCATGACCTTCGGTATTGTTCGTGAACGCCTAACCATCGGACCACTGGGCCGATATCCAACGGTGTTAATGTCTAACTCTGATTGATCTACGGATTTTGCGCGACCTCATCCATTTATCTTTGGTAGTTACAGTCTGCACCCGATAAGGTTGAACTCTATTGGTCACGTCTTCTCAGCTAGAACTCCGAGAATTTCCTCACGAACCTAGTTACTAGTGAGCACACAATACCGAAGGTCCTGGGTTTGATTGACTGCGAGGTGCAAGAGTCGTGGATGCACACTGCCACTGATGAGTAGTCCCATACCAGGACGAAACGGCCGTCTATCAGTGCTTCCAGGTTTCTAACGGTGGTGGTCTAACAATGTAATCAAATTGTTTTTGTATAAAATTCTGGAGAAAAAATAATGATGCATGTCAGTCAACATGTATTCGTGATAAAAGTTTTTAATTTTTAAATGATTATTTCTTGTCTTCTTTTTTTCGTGTTATTTTTTCTTCAAGTTAAATTCTGATCGAATGAAATCATTGTATCAAACACCACAGCCTAGTAATAGTAGTAGTTCATCTTGTATAAAATCTACTTTACATGCAAATGAATTCATGCATAACAATAATACTACTACTACTAATAGTAATGCTGTAGAACGTTATTCAGACAATAAAGATAATCATCCAATCAGTGTAATGATGGATCTGAATTCATCCATGTCCAATAATTTACATGTAAGTTTTTTGGAAAAAAAAAATCAATAATTCAATAAACCAATGAGATTATTGCTCACAGACATTGACTGTTGAATTTTTTGAATGTTATTTTTTTTTATTGATAATGTGTTTTACGCGGGAAAAAAGAAAGAACACACGTTGTGCTTTTGTTGTAAACAAGTATAATCATGTAAGAATTTAAAAATTAGATTAGACAATAGGTATGAAATATTAATTTTTTATAAAAACATAATCTCAGTGATTGTGTTTTATTTATTAATTAGGTTGATGTTTTACCAGTGTAATCTAGTTGATTGGTGGATAGATACGCTTTTGATGAATAAATATATAGATAGGATAGAGAAATGGATTGTGCTCATTAGTGAATAGATTTGTGAAGAAATTCTAACGAGTTTTAGCGAGAAGGTTCAGTCAGTCAGTCAGTCAGTTGTAACGTAGAATGACGTACGTATGTACATAAGTTTAGGTTGCCATACCACATTATTAGCACAGAGATGCAAATGTCAAGTCAAATCCCCATAGTCATAAAGATAGTAGAGGTATTATTAATAGTAATGAAGAATAATAGGGTTTGAAGATATTATTCAAGAACTATAATTCAGTGAGTGAGATAAGGTTAGAAAGACAAAGGTAGAGGTGCTGACGAATCCAGAAGATTAGGATTTGAGAGAGCTCAACGAATGGATGCACTCGCGCCATTGCAAACGATTTTGAGCCATGTTCAGTCATGTAGGGTGTAGACAGTAAGTAAACTACCGAAAACAATGAATGGGGATGTTTAAAATCCTTAGATTGGTTAGAGTCAGATATTAACATCGTGTTATACCTGCACGTAAACATGTCAGCTTGATATATATACTTGAACTATTACGAGTTTACCTTAGAGTGAGGATCGAGGATCCGGCGACATGACATGCTACTCAAATCCGATTATTACAACCCCCCATATTGAATAAAAATAAGAAGACTTGATATGAAGTAGAACCTGTATTCTACAAGCATCCTCAAAGTACGAGGTCTGAATCCAGAAGAGAATCAGGATTCCGGACTGGGGATCCGGGACCGGGTTCTGGTCCTGGGCCTGGTCAT